AGGTCTTAACATGAAACGTGAGATTTTTCGTCTCCCATTTCCTTATTTCTTTGGGTTGGCAGTAAATTACGAGTCACAGAGTCGTTGGGTTTGCAATGAATTATCAGAGTCACAGACACTGCATGACATGAACAAGAAAAACTAGGCCTTTGGTTAATACAAGCTTTGACAACACGAGTTACTGTCAGCAAAATAAGAAAAAACTTGTTTAGGCAATTTTGAAATCAGGAAGTAACCTTGCTTTACTTCAAGCAATGAGACAGAGTCCCTTGTGATCATTGTAATCATTATTCCCACTGATAGAGAACTCATCTAATGTCACCTTGGAACCAAAATTGCTGATATGAGTTAAGTTAGTATTGACTTAAGATGACCCTATTAATAAGATAGGTGTAAGAGATCCTGGTAGTAACATGGGGTGTTGAAACATAAAAGTATCATTTTCTACATATTAGGAAGGGAAGATACCCATATGTACATATATATGTACATATAATATCCTAACTATAACTCCCAGGATTCAAGGAATTTTGATGGTAGTTGCATTGATAAAGAAAATAATTTTTGGACTAAGTATCCTGTCTTGATTAAGAATGTTTTATAATGCCTTTCTTTCTTTAGCCATGTGTAAGCTGATACGCTGTGCTTATGCATTGTTAAATTTCCGTTGTGTTCTTCCTGGAGATAATACTTAAAGAAGCAACTCAACTTATCTAGAAATGGGCAAATAAAATGATCAAAGGTCTGAAAGCCAAGCCCTATGAGAATACATATACTTTCAAGCTATACATATGCTTAGTTTGGAGAAAAGAGGGTTGAGAGGATGCATGATAGCCATATTTAAATATTTGAAAGGATGTCACGTTGACAAGCTTGTTTTCTAGAGACTAGAACACAGAGCAATAGATTCAAATTGCAGAAAAAGAGATTTCACCTAAGAACTCCCTGATGGCAAGAGCTGTTTGGCAATGGACTCTTGGAATGTGATGAAGTCTCCTTCTCTGGAGTGTTCAAAATAGAGGCTGGATGACCATCTGTTGAGACTGCTTTGATTGTGTGTTCCTGACTAGCAGGGGGTTGGACTCTTCCAATTCTATGATTCTAGGTCAACTAGTCCTCTTTGGGTTGGGATATCTCAAAAGGGCTATAGCCATTTCTGCACTTACTGGAAAATATGGTTTAAAGAGTTCTGAAGGTACTTCAATGAAAGCCAGGAGGCCCTTCCACACAGCCATTGAATCCAAAATATCAAGGCAGATAATCTACAATATCTGCTTTAAACTGGGTTATCCTAGTCCACACTGCCATATAACCCAGTTCAATGTGGATTTTACACAGCAGTGTGGAAGGGGCCTGGGAGTCCTTTGACAAGTCCCAGATGCACCAGAGCCACAACTTAATGGCAATGTTGTATTTCTGGTCCCACAGTCCATGTCCAACATGACCTCACCATAACTGTGATTCCACCAGCAAGCCACTTGGGAAGGGCCTCCTGTTGGCAGTGATGCAGCAGTGGAGCCATTAATGGCGTGGACATCGCCCAACCCCGTTTCCCACCTCTCCAAGCCTGTGGGATCACTCCAGAAGCTTATGCGAAGCTACAAGGATTCATGCTAAAGCTTCCTAGAAGCTCCAAAGAGAATCCCAAGGTTTTTTTTTTGTGGGGGTTAATGGCTGGACATAGTAGGCATGATGTGCATCCGAACCATGGATTATATGGATTCACTGCAGCAACTGAGTGGTGAGTCCACATTATTTTGGCCATGTAGACACAATCTATGGCAGCCAAGAACCAAGCCACACATTATAGGTGGTCCTCTTGATAGTTTTCAAATGAGGACAGTTAGGACTCTGATGTCCTTTTTAATGAAATAATTTGGCCCGTTTATTACCAAAGCATCTTCAAAACATTAAACTTGGATCTTCTGTATTATTCTTTGTTTTCACAGTAAGTGGAAAGAAGTTTACACAGCTGCATTTAAAAATACTAGGTGCTGCTGAGAAAATATGTGATCCATTTTCTATCCAGCTCAGTCACATCATTTGGATTTCAAACTATTTGGGTTACATTTCTAAGTACATACTTCCAAAAAGTCCTAGAGATCTCAGTAGGACTTCCTTCTGAGTAAATACACATAAGGGATCAGTTTGTTCCTGAGGACAGCCTATTTTAAGTACACAACAGTTTACTGAAGATTGTGGAAATAAAACTAGACTGTTGAACCATTTGTAAATGACTGTGAGATATCTAAAAAAAAACCTTCTCCAAATTATGAGGTTTCTGAGCCCAGTAAGGGCTATGAAGTAAATTGAGTTCAATATTATTTCCAAGATAGTCATCAAACATTAGTCTTCCAAATCTTTATTACGACCTTTGTGTCACAGGTTTTCTTTGAAACAGATTCTGTTAAGCACACTTAGGTTTGAACATGGTATTTGGTATATATATTTTAAGATATCGCAGTCTGGGTGAGGCATTGTAATAGCACCATGGGACAACAAAAACATCCTTTGCTTTCCAGTAATGTGGAGGTATCCTATATACTGCCATTGATGAGGAATATAGGATATGGCTTTACATCAAATGAGACCATTGCACCATCCAAGTTTAGTACTAGCTATCACCAGAGGCATACAAAGTCTAGACCAGTGATTCCCAAATTTTGGTCCTTCAGTTAATTTGGACTTCAACTCTCAGAAGTTCTAGCCAGCATGTCCAACGATTAATAATTCTGGGAGTTGAAGTTCAAAACATCTGGAGCATCAGTTCAGGAACCATTGACTATGGCAGCATTCCTCAAACATTGGTCTTCCAGATGGTCTACACCTCAGTTCCATGAATTACAGATTCCAAGAACTCCCGAATTCCTGGCTGGGGCTTCTGGGAAGCTGAAGTCCAAGACAGCGGGAGGACCACAGTTTGGTAACCTGTGGTTTAGACCTCAAGAAGCTTCAAAGATTGTAAGCCCCAGATGTCCTAGCTACAGCAATAAGGACAGCTGGGAGATGTAATTCAACCACATCAACACTATCACCCTTTTGTCCACCACTGATGGCTCTGGAGAAAGGGATTCCCCGCTTTAGGGATTAAACTTGGGTCATTTTAGATGTAAATCATGTACTTTTCCTGCACACACTGACATATAAAATGGGTGGGTCCTACTTAACTTATCCCATTAAGACAACACTTTCCCTCAATGGAATGCAGAAGGAATAAAATTCTCTTTCTCCCCTTCCCTTGCTGTGCTCCAGAGCAAATGCTGGGAGAGCAAGGGGAGACATGATTCAACACACAACCAGCAAACCATTTTTCATATCTTGAAAACTACTAGTATGAGAACAGCAGCTTTCAGAGTGACTCTGCATTGGGGGAAATGCTACTTAGCAGGGTGTTTGATAGAATGACAATTTCTAAATGATGAAATTGTAGCCTATTCTACTCTTATGATCCCATTTTAGGTGTTCCCTATACATCTGTTTCATACAAAACTAAACTAGATTATCACAATGTTCTACCAGTCTTATTCCCCTGTCCTAACATTGTGTCCTGCACCAACAAATGAGGTTAATGCATCTTTCTATGACTGCTGCCATTCACACATCTAATGGCAAGATTTGTTTCTGCTCCAGCTTTCTGTTAATATTACTTTTTTCTGGTTTGCTGTGAGTTTTTCGGGCTGTATGGCCCAAAACTCACAACAACCCAGTGATTCCGGCTATGAAAGCCTTCAACAACATGTTACTTTTTTCAAAACCTTCTACATCCAGAGTCAAGAGACCTCCCATCCATTGTATAGTGTCCATACTGGATGGAGAATCCTGGGAGTTATAGGTCAAAACAATTTTTTAAAATGTTAGCAGGAGGCAATTTTCTTTTAGTATATTGAGACCAACCTCGACAGTCTCAGTCATAAGACACAAATATCAAACCAGAAGGCCACTTAATACTGAGCTTCATACTTAATCAGTATTGTGTCTGTCTCAAAAATTACATAGCCTTGTGCTATTACATAAACCCTTAACGTTTGATTCCTTTTTTCCAAAAACTGAGAGTAATTAGATCTATTGGAATAAAAAGGATCCTCCTGGGCCTATAATAAAGGGGGAGGGGTTAAAAGTATAGTAAAATTGCTCCTTGCACTCTTGAGGGGCAAAAAATAAAAAAAATAAAAATCTGGGCCTTGAAGCCACAAAATTACCCCTGTAGAACTGTGAATTGCCCACAAACCACACTTTCCTTACCCTTACATTTGATGAAAAGCTGGGCACTGTTAGAAAACAAATAAAAAATTAAAGCTGCCACTATTGCACTTTATTGTTATGTACCTTCAAGTGACTTATGCCAACCCTGTCACATCACATTTATACAGCATTTTTGATAATTTTGTACATGAAACAAAATGTGTGAACATTGAACATGAAACAAAATGGTGTGTATACTATCAGAAAGCAAAGGCATCACTTTTGGATTTTGGAAGATTTCATAATTTTGGATAAGGGATCAATTAGTATGGTCAATGGAAGAAACAAATGCTCATATTTTGGGACAATCAGTTTTATTTATAGGACAGAGCCTTTCATTAAATTAATTTCTTAATTTCTTCTCAAAATGAAGAAGTTACCAAATACTTACACAACAAAGCAACAAACCGAAACCATGTGATAGCTATAGTTGTAATCTTTCACATTTTGTCACATTTTGTAAACTAAATGTGACAAGATCATGCAAGGGCCATTGGTTCTAAAGCAGGCATGGGCAAACTTCAGCCCTCCAGATGTTTTGGACTTCAATTCCCACAATCCCTAATAGCCTCAGGCCCTTTCCTTTTCCCCCCTCAGCCGCTTAATTGGCTGAGGGGGGAAAGGAAGGGACACGAGGCTGTTAGGAATTGTGGGTGTTGAAGTCCAAAATATCTGGAGGGCTGAAGTTTGCCCATGCCAGTTCTAAAGCATATAATCAGAGTTCGTTTGTTTTTTTACAAAATAACATTGTGAAATCCTGGCAGAAATAAACCAGTTTTTTATTAGGCTTTCAGCTGTAGATTAAATTAATACACTCGTAACATTTGTGAGCACAAAGGAGTTAATCAACTCACTGGACTCTTCCCCCACTTGAAACCAGTATCAGATGTTTGAACAATAACATTCATTTTAGCTTTAACCAAAATTTCAAAGAAATCATGGTGTTATGAGTCAGACCTTTCTAGCTTCTGCCTTTATCCGCCCCAAGTTTCCTTCAGTTATTGGCAAAGTCCTTCCCATCATCCAAAAAGAGGAAGTTGCAAAACAGTTTCCATGTGGTGTTATGCCTGCTAACTATTCATTTGTTAGCCTTCTTTTGGGACTTCTCTTGTGTCACAAGTTCCTTAGCAGTACATCGAGAGTTGAATGCCTGCAACATCTCTCGGATTGTTAGGTTGGCTCCTTTCATAATCAGTCTGTCACCGTCAGCTGTAAAGAAAGAATAATAATTTACCCTGCAAAAGGATAAAAGTGAAGTAGTATCTGTTTTTACAATTGTACAGATTTATTCTCTAGAACTATTTTCAGCGTTTTATGACCATTGTAATATTGGTATAGTGTTGTTTTTTAAAGCTGGCATAAATATATTTGTGACTCCCAGTCATTCTTTCATCAGGCTTTTCAAAATAAAAGAGATTGTGTGTGCACACAATGCAATTCAGCAATATTATCATGAGTAAATATTAGCAGTCTCTCGTGCCGTGTTCAAGTAGTTGCACGTGTCTGATATTAAGACAATAAGGAATTTGTCAGTTTGAACTATATCCGTTTTTGAGTTTTACTAATATTGCAAACAAGTATACTCAGACCCCCACATTTGCCGAGGTTAAGGGTACAGAAGCCCCATGAAAGTGAAAAAAAATGCAAAGAAAGAAATGGCTACTGTTTTTTACTCAAGAGAACACCTCTCTAGTAATTTCTAGTAACAACTGTGGGAGTTGAAGTCCAAAACACATGGAGGGCCGAAGTTGGCCCATGCCTATTCTAGGTCTTTCAGCATGACTCTAGGACCAACATCAACTGGAAGCTGACCACAGAATCATGCTGGAAGACCTGGAGATTCCTAATGAGAACATTTTAATCAAACCTGTGAGTAGCAGTATGTTTCAAAATTTGAAAAAAAAATTATGTTCCTGGTTTAAAGTGTTATTTTCTGTTTAATTGTGAAGTACTTACCTTACTTTGAAAGTAGCTGCTACACTACAGAAATTTCATTTTTGTGGCTGCCACAAACTATGTTGAATTGGTTGATATTCATGGAAAAACTATAGCAAGTGTGCTGTAGGATGTTCCGCAAAAACAACATTTTTTGCAGTTTTTATGATAAAATCAATTAGGAAATAACACTTACAACCCAGGAATAAAAAAAAATCATGTTACATAGTGTAATCAAATAGGCACAAGTCAAAACCACATGGAAGGAGGACTGTAGGATATAAACTTTAAGAGGTAGAACTCAAGAATACAGATAGGAGTAAAATAAAACTAAACAATCCTAGGTTGATTTTATTCAGTATGTATCAGGTTTACAAATGTCTGATATCATGATAGTTGTTTTGCCTGCATGTGCCTTCAAGTCACCTGCTGACTTATGACAACCCCATGAATTTCACATAATTTTCTTGGAAAAGGTATACTTAAAGGTGCTTTTGTCAATTCCTTCCTCTGAAACATATCCTACAGCACTTGGAATTCATTGGTGTCTCCCATCCAAGAACTCACCCTGTTTAGCCTCCAAGAATAGATGGGATTTGGTGCCTTTAGGGGAAACTTGTAGCCCTCCAGATGTTTCAGACTCCAATTCTTAGAAGTCCTAACCAGCTTGTCCAATGGCCAGGAATTCTAGGAGCTGAAGTCCAAAACACCTGGAAGGCCAAAAGTTTGACACTGCTTTAGGGTATTTAGGCCTTATCATGGAATATACAGATATTCAACTACAATGACAACATAATGCCTATTTGCGGTGTCATTTCTACAGACAAACAGCACACGAACCTTCTATCTTGCCAAACTCAGCAGGACCTATTTTTGAAATAAGGACATACAAAATTACAAGTGCAGACACACCTACATATCGCAAACACAATGGACTAAATCTATTTGCTAACACAGACCGCTGAATCAATTGGATATACATAATTGTTGATTTGCTAGCTGGAACTAGTAATTGGACAACCTACACTGCGCCCTGACATCACCACATGTGCTTCTCATCCAAATATTCTTTTAAAAAGATGTGCAGCCACATCCTAAACCACCCACCATGGTAGCTTCAATTATATTGGCTTCTTAGAAGCTGCAATGTGCCATCTAGTGGTATTAAATGAGACAGTCACAAGAAATCCCCATCCTGACTTCAATCTTTCAGATATTTCCTTTTGACATGACAGGGCAAACAATGCAGAAAGGGACAAAAGGCAAATTGGAACATTGTTACACAACACAAAGGAGTGAGTTTGTGGAACAAATCCCAACTAAATGCAATAACAGGAAGCTGTAACAAAGAGGAAGAAAGTAACATGACACCAATGACAGTTTAAGTGGCACTTAATTTAGTCAAGACTAATTGGATGGATCACAGGATTCAAGTAATGAAAACAGTAGATCCTGCAGACCTACACTAGAGCATTGCCTGGTGGTTGAAAGCAGCTACCTCTGTAATAAATACTGGTGTGTTACAGAAATCCATAAAGAGCTATGTCACGCTAATGAGTGGGATCTTTTATTTCTTAATATTTAAAAGAGTTAGTGGCCGCCTTGCGGGCTAGAAAATGATTCTGGGCAAGGTGGGCAACTTCATTCAGTCAGTCAATCTTGCATGCTTGGGCCACAAATGAACTGCCACACACATTCTGTTGCCTGCTACAGAAATTCCACTTCCAATTTGTTCAAAATAAAGTTCAAAAGGTGGCATTTTGGTGTAAAGAAAAACTGTAACTTTGACTATGTTTATTGTCAGTCATTCACTTCTAAAATGTAGCACCTGTTCTCAGAGCATGTGGATTTTATCTGAGGATTGTGCTTTTTTGTGCAGTTACATTGCTGACTTTGAAAAGGGTGACTGGGAGCACAAAAATATTTTTGTGGTCTGACTATCCCTGGGCTTGGGTTACAAAACTGGGTTATTTTCTTACCAAATGTGATGTCAATTACTGGTTCTGATCCATCGTGTTTTATTTCTGTTTTCACATCACAGTTGACGTTAGATGCGTATGCTTTCTTTACATGCAGGCACTGAAGGAAATTTCTGTAAAGAGGCATTGGAAGTACAGATCAGATGAACATCAATTAACTGGCTTACCAACTATGCTCTATAATATTTTAATAGAAATGCAAAATATAAATACAATGGTTCTTATGCTAAAGATACTATATTAAAAA